CTATGTATCTTATACCTATACAAGCAAGTCAAATTTCACCTTAAACTTTAGGCGTCACAATGTGTAGTAGCCATTATCTTTTTGTAGGTAAACTTTTCACATAATATATAACTGTCAACAACAAAAATCTTTTCTCGAGAGCTGAAAATTCTTCTTTGTTTCTGTTTGAATCCATCAATATGCAGCAGCTTTCTAGTTTCTCCGTGTGTTTACACAGGATAGCGGGACCGCACTCCATCTGACCATCGGGAACGGGCATATTGCGGTAGTGGAGCTGCTGATTCAACATGGCGCTGATGTGGGGGCGAGGGACAAGGTAAGTACAGACAATCATCTCATATGTAGTTAGGATTTAGGGTCAATAAATGATTGTTGAAAATATCTTCTATCCTGAGAATATTCTGGCTTTTTGGGGCCGATCATCCATTGGTTAATTAAGGGTAATAATGTGGGGTTGAATTTAAACTTGTAACAAAAATTATGTATTTCATACAGTCAAGAGACAAAGCAAAGTTTAGTATTTACAATGATTCATAGCCACAATGTTTATACAGGTAAACTTTGCTCATGATTAATAATGAACTGTTAAACAACGTTCCTGCTGAAAAACTAAAAATTATATCTTTCCATCCTTTTGATGGTCTGTTTGAATCAACCCACGTGCAGCAGCTTTCTAGTTTCTCCGTGTGTTTACACAGTATGGCAATACAGCACTCCATAGGGCCAGCATGTACGGGCAGACTGAGATAGTGAAGCTGCTGATTCAACATGGCACTGATGTGAACAAGGTAATAGCAATCATCTCTTGTAGTTTGGATTAAGGGACAATTAATGGTAGTTGAGACATATCTACTATTATATCTGAGAATGTTCTCTGATTTCTTGCCTATTGGGACCCATTAACCTCGACAGGGGTTAGATTAAGATTAGAAGGAAGTTTAGAACTCTCTTAAAAATCATAACTATATATGCCATAAAGTGACAAAGCAATTTTGCCCCAAGCCATTATTGTTTTAAAGGTACTTTGCTCGTGATACATAATTGCCAGCTGTGAAGAACTTAAACTCTTAAACTGAAAATTCTATATTGCTGACCTTGAGGGTCTGTTTGAATCAGCCAATGTACAACAGCTTCTCTAATTTCTCCGTGTGTTTACATAGACTGACATAACCGCACTCCATCTGGCCAGTGAGGCTGGGAAGACTGGGGTATCGGAGCTGCTGGTACAACATGACGCTTATGTGGAGGCGAGGAACAAGGTACGTGCACACGATCATCTCATGTAGTTAGGAGCAAAGGATATTAATGATGCTTGAGGAATATCTACTATATTTAGAATAATCTCTGATGTTTTCCCTTTTGTTGCCTACTATCCTTGGCAGGGTTAATTAGATTAGAAGAAAGTTTTAATAATGTTGATATAGGTCAACTTTGCTCATTATATACAACTATGAACTGGAAACTGGAAACTGGAAAATCTATCTTGCTTGTTTGTTTGTTTGTTTGTTTGTTTGTTTGTTTGAATAAGCCAATGTGCAGCAGCTTTCTAGTTTCCCTGTGTGTTTACAAAGGATGGCAGGACCGCACTCCATCTGGCCAGCGGGAACGGGAAGACTGAGATAGTGAAGCTGCTGATTCAACATGGCGCTGATGTTGAGGCGAGGGACAAGGTAAGTACAGATAAGAATCATCAATGATGTTTGGAAAGGATGTACTATTCTCATAATATTGTAGTTCTATGATTTCCTGACTATTGTGGCCCATTAGGTGTATCTTATACATGTAATTCAAATTCCACCTTACGGTTTAGGGTTTGTAATGATTGACATATCCATAATAGTTTCTTACAGATAAGTTTGTTCAAGGTACATAATCATCAACTATTTACTTTTTAACCGGAAATTCTATTTTGCTGTCCTTGAGGGTCTGTATGAATCCACCAATGTGCCGCAGATCTGTAGTGTCTCCGTGTGTTTACACAGGATGGCTGGACTGTACTCCATGTGGCCAGCAGGTTCGAGAGTACTCGTGTAGTGGGGCTGCTGATTCAATATGGCGCTGATGTACAGGCGAGGGACGAGGTAAGTACAGACAATCATCTTATGTAGGTTGGATTAAGGAGCAATTAATGCTGCTTGAGAAAGATGTACTAACCTGAGAAGATCTGAGAATATTCTATGATTTTTTTAGTCTGGGGCCTATTGGCCTCAATCAAGGTTAAAAGTCTCTACGAAAATTATAACTACTTTCAATTTAGTTGATACAGATATACAGCTGTAATGTTTTTACAGGTAAACTTTACTCATGATATATAGCTATCAAGTGTAAAGGCACTTTCTTCGGTCTTCGTAAACTTGGAAGTTCTATATTTAATTTACTCTGTATCTAATTTAAACTCTGTACAGAATTATAACTATGTATTCTATACATAAGACAAAGCAATTTCGCTTCAAAGTTTTGCTTTACAATGATTCCTATAGCCATTATGTTTTTCACACTTTGCTTATGATATATCTTTCCTCGAGAGTCTGTTTGAATCAGCCAATGTGCAGCAACTTTTTTAGGTTTCCCGTGTGTTTACACAGTACGGAAAGACCGTACTTCATGTGGCCGTCGGGAATTGGAGGACTGGGGTAGCGAAGCTGCTGATTCAACATGGCGCTGATGTGGAGGCGAAGGACAAGGTAAGTACAGACAACCATCTTATGCAATTAGGATCCATGTAATAAATGATTGTTGAGGAATATCACTGACATTGGCTTTGAAGTCCATTAGTCATGCCAGGGATCAACTTTTAAATTGGTGGCTATAGTTAGGTTAAGGCCTTGCAATTTTATGGTTTACCTTTCTATAGCTACACGACACAGTAGTTGATCTAGAATTAATACCGATTTTCATTAACATTCTTCGCCAAATGATGTTCACCATTCTAACTTCCGAAATTATACATTTTCTCATTGATTATGAAAATAAGATTCTCATTTCATCTCCATTATGGATTATATGGATATCAGTTGGTGATATTCTCCACCCAATTACAGCCTTATTGTAACAGAGAATGCTATCTGTTTAGCACTTCCTCTTAAATTATGATAATAACCTTGTGATTTGAATAGATAATGTTCACCTTCAATTAACTTCCAAATGTAGCAAGTATGAAATGCCTGACAGTTACCTCTATGAAATTATAGCAATTCGCCATTAATTATGCAAATTAGGTTTTCATTCCCATAATCTATATTTCCAGATGTTCCTCTCAGTCCCAATTTCATACATCACAAGTGTTCTATACACTTATTATGGAATGCAGCAGATTTTAGTAATCCCTTATTAATTATGCAAATTTGCTCCTGATTTGCATAATTACCATCTAATTATGTCAGGAATTACTTTAGCTACCTAGTAGACGTAATAAAAATTGTGACAATCCGTCAGACAGTTCTTGAGTTATCCTCCCTCCCTCCCACCCAACCACAAAAACAAACACACACACACACATACACACAAACGCGGAAATTATAACCTTCTTGGCAAAGCTAACAAACTTAAAGATTGTGTGAACTAACGCTTTATTTCTATTACACAGGATGGGAGAACACCACTGGACTACGTGCATAACCAACGCCACCGACTTTTCCTAAAGGTGTGAGTAAATTTTTACTTCATCTTTCACAGATTTTATATCGTAGTCAGTCTCCAACATGTTGTAAAGTGCATCACACGTTTTCTCATGATATTTGATTCGCGATTATGCACGAAAAGGTGCCTATACTTGCTTGATGACGCCTGGCTGAAACTACTAAACAGACATTGAAAGCATTTTATCAGTAAGGCTGATTTTTTGGATGATGCAAGTCGAGTGTTTACATTGCTCATCCAGAAACTGGCTACTGAGGTGGCTGTCCAGGTTTCCTACCACAAACTGATGAAACAATCCGGCGGGGAGAAAGTCGACAGGGTTAAACTGTGCTTCTGTGGACCACAGGAAGCTGGCAAATCCACTCTGGTGGAAAGTCTGCAAACGGTACGATTTCAATCCAGAATAAGAATTCTACTTTTTTAAACGAAATTTGACAATCAGAGCACAAAAACACTGATTTGCTTGAATTTAACGTGTACAGTGTATTTGTGTCTGCAGGAATGTCAGCATACTCGTACATAGTATGGGAAAAAGTGATGCAAGATGGTATGGCTTTAGGCAGGTCAAAATAATAGATGCCAGATTTGAATTGGTACAAATATACATGTATCTGGAATATTCTTTCATTTCAGATTCATGGCAATTCTGCACTGTCACTAACATGAAACAGTTGTTCCAGATTTCCTGAAGAACTTAAATTCCCTTGACATCTATACGTTCTTAACTAGAATTTTAATAAAATATCTATAGCACTGAACTGAATATAATAAATATATAATATATGACTTCATGTAGGGATCTTTCACTGCCTTCTTCCGGGATCGGATGACTCCAGAAGATCAGCCACACGAGCCCACCCCGGGTGTGAATGTGGGAACAACCAACATTCCCGGTGTGGGGCAGGTCAGTGTGTGGGACTTCGCTGGACAGTCGGAGTACGCGGTAACCCACAGCATGTTCATGGATGCAGAGAACACCATCTTCACCGTGCTGTACAACATCATGGACGACTTAAAAAAGCAGAAGAGAGAGGTGATTAACTAGAAAGTTGAGGAAAATGGTATTTTTCTAAACTCTTGTCGGCAATGGTTTGATGACGACCCACCGTTTCTTTACAGGTCCACTGGTGGCTGTGTTTCATCAAGTCCTGCAACACAAAGAGTAAACCTCACGTCATCCTAGTGGCCAGTCATGCCGATCAGACTAACACAGGTACATGTAACTAAGACTAATGATGTATGTTTGATTAAATTCTGCTAGATATGTAAATATTAAGCGATCTTAAATAGAAGCTTCTTTTCTGTAATCTCTATTTTCAGACGTTCTATATTGTGTTGTTTTCAACAGGTCATCAACAAGCATCTTCCATCCTTGAGTTGATGACGTCAGAGTTCAAGGATCACCTGAACATCTCAGACGAAGTGTTTCTCCTTGACTGCAGGAAGACACGTAAAACTGACATGAGGCGCCTTAAAGACCTTCTGACAAGACTGAAGACCGAGCTTCTGGATGTGAGTCATGTTGTCTTGTATCATTTTTATGTCAGTTTTCCATCTATTTGGAAACAGAATTGTATCTTGCTTCAAACATACATACTGTAGTTATCAACAACAAAGCATACGATCAAGACATACAATGTAAATATATATAACACTCAAAATCAATACATAGATGTACAACATGATTATAAACCTGTCAAAATAGTCTGCATTTAACCATCCAAACATACAGTGTATGTTCACAAATCCAAATGGTCATTCCGTGTAAAATTTGTCAACAACAATTGCAAGACAGCTCTGTCCCTAACTGCCTGATTTCATTATGTAGCATCAGCGAGCCATTCCCAAATTGTGTGCTGAGATCATCAAGTGCCTCCCAAAATGGGCCAAGGAGAAATGCAGCCCGAAGTGTCCTGTCTTGAAATGGGCAGAGTACAAGGAGGCGGCGGCGAAGGAGATCGACCGCTTTGTCGATGAAGATATTCTGAAGACGTCTTCACAGTACTTGGCTCATCTCGGAGAGGTAAACTTAGCTCGCCAGCAGCCTACATAGCCAATTGGTGCCTTTCAGTGCGTTAGTGTTGGTCAGCCAATCAGACTCTGTCCAGCTGCTATATATGTTCACGGGTAAAGTATCAACCAGTTGCGCAGCCTCTTACCAGCAGATGATATGTAGAAATCCATTTGTAGTCAATCGAAAGTACTATCAAATAACTGAAGCAACATTCGTTATACAAACCAACCAACCAAACAAACAAACAAAAAACTAACAAACCATTCCTTTGTATATTGTTCCAGATCTTGTTCGTCCCCCTGCAAAATGCCGACCCCATCATCGTCCTGAAGCCCAACTGGCTCTGCACGGATGTCTTCGGCAAAGTGATGGCTCCAGAAAACTTTCCCATCCAACATCTGAGAACCATCAACGACGTCGTCACGAAAGAGGAAATCCAGAACGTGTTCAAAGATGTTGCCGATGTGGATCTCCTGACCACCCTACTGCAAGAGTTCCAGCTCTGCCACACCTATGATGAACAGGAGTTCATCATTCCCGGACTGCTGACACAGACCATGCCTCCAGAGAACTGGCAGCCGACCGCGAACACTGCCAAGCCCGTCTACTTCGGCAAGCAAGTCCAGTGTGCGGACACCACCGACATGTTCTCCTCCGCGTTCTTCCCCCGTGTGCAGACCCGCCTGATGAGGGAACTGAAGAACCGCCCGCTGCTGTGGAGAGACGGAGCCAAGTGTTTCGACTCCAACGTGGAAAGTCTCATCAAGCTCTCCCCAGACGGCCGTGCGGTCAACATCTGCGTGCGAAGCGAGCAGGGCGACAAGCTGAGCTGCCGGCAGATGCTCGAGAAGATTGAGAACATCGTCATCAACGTGCTAGACGAGGTCAGCCCAGGCACTACTACAGAGGAGAGGCTGCTCAGCGCTCGTGCACTGAGGGAACACAGAGAAGAGATCTACTCCTACAGCATGGATCAGGTCAACAAGGCCAAAGAAAAGGACGGCAAAGTCCATCACGACATTCTCGGCTTCTCAGAAGACGTCGATGACCTGTGTGGTGGAGGAGACGACGATGAAGAGGAGCAAGGAGCTGTTGGATACTCGCACCAGGATCCCCGCGTGTACGAGATGCACAACCACATCATCAATGCAGGCGATGGTGCCGTCATCAACATGTACCAAGGTGCCGCAGGACAACTAGAACAGCTACAGTTGGAAGGGAATGTTGGACAGCCACAGTTGGAAGGGGGTATTGGGCAGCTACAGTTGGAAGGGGATGTTGGACAGCCACAGTTGGAAGCAAATTAGCCTGGTGATCTGGAACAGACACAGTTGGCGGAGTGACTTTTCATTCAATCTTGTACAAATGTTAACAAAGGCTTCCTTTCCCCTCAGTGATCACACACTGACCCCCCCCCCAAAAAAAAAGAAAGCAAAGTTGTGTTAATCCCACCACTTCAGGAGCAAGCTAAGTTAAGAAGAGCTCACTGAGTCCCATTGTGTTTCATGACAGTTTTTCGCAAGCATTGTTCATGCATTACCTGGTTATGGCGCAAACATATAAATGGCTCAGCTGCAGTTGGCAGAGACCCCAGCAGGGGGTGCATCTGTATTACTGTCAGCAAATAAGTTAAAGTTTTGACGTCACCCCTCCAAACATAACCTTCTTGGTGAAGGTAAAAAAACTTCCTCTTTATCGGTTCCCCCAACCAGATATTTAGGTTACTGCAAGATAGCATCAAATTGGTAAAACCGTATATAGTTTATATATTTATACCAGTATAAAAATGTAAGCCAGATGAAACGCCCATAAACACGTAAAAAAGCCGAAGCCTAAACAACAACAGAGTACAACCAAAACTGAACCAAAAAGCAAAAATGTTTTCGCATTGATGACAAAAGGACCACATAACCTCTGGTCCAAAATACATCAAATTGGTAAGATGTATGATTGGTATCATTGACATAAGATTTTTTAAAGAAAATAGATTCTCTTTTGTATGATGTAACAACAATTTGCTGTTGTGAGATTTGGCAATGGCCAATGCTAATTACAGAACAAGTCTTGTTGTGCAATAAATAATTACTGCTTATTGTTTGTTTTATTGGGTTCCCCATTAGTGTTACATACATTACAGAAAAGACGAAAGGACGATTTTCCAAGATGGCGGACATGCTGCACCTTTTTTAGTCCCCGGGTTACAGCTTACTGTTTCTTTCGTTGCTGTTGTGAGATTTGGCAATGGCCAATGCTAATATTACAGAACAAGTCTTGTTGTGCAATAAATAATTACTGCTTATTGTTTGTTTTATTGGGTTTCCCATTAGTGTTACATACATTACACAAAAGACGAAAGGACGATTTTCCAAGATGGCGGACATGCTGTACCCGTTTTTAGTGCCCGGGTTACAGCTTACTGTTTCTTTCGTCAATAAGTGGGCCAGGAATCCCCAATGAAGGCAAGTTGAACAGCTTCATTCCTAACACATCCAACTTCTGTTCTACCGTTGTAGACTCGGTATAAACTCTCGGCGGCGTCAAAAAAGACTGTAAAGCTTGAAATGGTGGCAGCGTCATGACTCCTTCCAGGGTCCGTCGTGTGAGGGTATGTGTGTTACATGTCTAGCCAGGATCTTCTAAAACCAAACAGTATTTATTTATTTATTTATGAAGATTTACCACATTTGTGGAAGGATTGACATAACAGGTGACTACCACCTTTTCAAAGATGTCAACCCCGAGACCAGGCTGTAAGGTTTGAACCACTCACACCGGGAAGGTCCCCTACTCTTTTCGATAAGTGCAGTGGGTTCTTTAACGTGCGTGGGGTGTGACTCTCCCAAACACGGGACCTCCATTTTACGTCCTATCCGAGGGACGTCCCTAGCCAAAGCTAGGTACTCATTTTCACCTGAGTGAAGTGAGGAAAGTCGTGTAAAGTACCTTTCCCAAGGGTACAACGTCGGGGCGCATGTTCGGACTTGTTCGGGTACGACCCGGAATCGAACCCGGGTCTCCCCGCTTCGTAGTCCAGTGATGTACCACTACACCACACGACGCCACTGAATCGTCATATGCAAGATATTTCTGTGCATCTGCAATGGTAGGTGACTTCTGATTGTTATCTCTTCGTGTTATACACACTGTGAATATGGAGGCGCTGCTAGTCAAATTGAAAGAAATTTTTCATCTCTAACTGTCCATTTTATGACGACATCAGAAAACAATTATTTAGCACCGTGTCCAAAATACTCCCTTACTTCCCCACCGTTCCCTACCACAAAAAAAACATTTTTACTACTAAAATCAAAGAACCCACATATTACAGAAGAAGTGGGTAAATTCGTCTTCCACTGCCTAAAAAGAAGAAGTCAAACCCAGTAAATCTAGTACCATGCATGTTGTAGAATATAGTACAATGCTAGACGTAGATATAGTCTCACATACCACAGTATTTTCTTTCTTATGTTGTTTGTAACTGCATTTAGCCCTCGGGCATGTATTTGCAATAAACTTTCATCAAGACTGAGAACTCTTCCAACTTTTCCAAACTAAATGATAAAATGGATGCCGTGAAATGTGACATAGAACGGATGGGAGACATTTAGAGTTCTCATGATGACATGTTTGTGGAGCAAAGTCGCCTCATTGCGGGGATACAAGCTAGAATTGTGACACTAAAAGCGCGACAATTCCACACTGAGCAATCTTCACGCAAAAAGTGCTTACGCATCTGGGAACACCAGGTAACTCCCTAACTGATGATAATAAGGATCTCCTGGGAAAGTTCTTGGAGTTTTCTGCATCAACTCTGAAAGTCAATGTTGCTGTAGGGGACATCGTTAACATTCAATATTTAGGGAAAGGAACTGCTCGACATGTGATAATGAAGTTTGCTACTTTCCTGGCCAAAAGAAAAAAGTCTATGATGCCAGACGAATCTTGAAAGGTGTTACAAATGAAGCTGGCCATTTCATCTCGATGAGACCAGATCTGTCCCCTTTCCTAATATGAGCACAAGCCACGCAGATGGTGTCAGATGAAAAAGACAACAAACCCTTTTCTTCTGTGTGGGTGACTATGGATGGGAAAATATGAGTAGCTCAGGGTGATAAACGGCTACAGCGGACTGGGCCGCGAGACATTGATTACAGCGAATCAGACGCTGCAGGTGAGGAGAATTCCACGCAGCGCAGGAGGACCTAGTCTCCACGAGACGACTTTGCTGGCTGAATAAATAGTATAGAATGTAGCTGGCCGGGGGAGATGGCCGGCCATAGAGGGTCCAGTCTGCTATATGAAACTGGACCCTCTATGGACTGCCATCTCCCCTGGCCAGCTATCTTCTTTTTAGGCCGGTATCTGCTATTTTTCAGACTGCAAAGGAGCCTGGTGGAGACAAAAGAAGACCGCCGCGAAGCGCCTGGCATCTGCGTCACCTGACTCTCTAGCGCTTGAGAGTCAGGTGACGCAGATGCCAGGCGCTTCGCGGTGGCCCAGTTCCCTTCCCTATATAGTGAATGTTATCGATGTCCACCACAACAAAATGGACTTTCAGAGTTGATGCAGCAAACAAGAACTTTGCCAGGAGATCCTTATCATCATGAGGTAGGGAATTACCTAGGAGTCCCCAGATGCATCTAGGCAATTTTTGCGTGAAGATTGGTTAGTGTGGAATTGTCGCGCTTTTAGTGCCACAATTCTAGTTTGTATTCCCGCAATGAGGCGACTTTGCTCCACAAACATGTCATCATGAGAACTCTAAATGTCTCCCATCCGTTCTATGTCACATTTCACGGCATCCATTTTGTCATTTAGTTTGGAAAAGTTGGAAGAGTTCTCAGTCTTGATTTCTTCCAATTTGATTAGCAGCGCCTCCATATTCACAGTGTGTATAACAAGAACAGATAGCAATCAGAAGCCACCTACCATTGCAGATGCACAGAAATATCTTGCATATGACGGTACTGTTTGGTTTTAGAAGATCCTGGGATAGACATGTAACACACAAACCCTCACACGACGGACGCTAGAAGGAGTCATGACGCTGCCACCATTTCAATCTTTACAGTCCTCCAATTTCTTGACGACGCCGAGAGTTTATACCGAGTCTACAACGGCAGAACAGAAGTTGGATGTCTTAGGAATAAAAATGGTTTAACGTTTGGCCTTCATTGTGGATTCCTGGTCGACTTATTAACGAACGTAACAGTAAGCTGTGACCCGGGCACTAAAATTAAAAATGGGTATAGCATGTCCGCCATCTTGGAATTCGAAAATCATCCTTTCGTCTTTTGTGTAATGTATGTAACACCAATAAACCCAATAAAACAAACAATAATCAGTAATTATTTATTGCACAACAAGACTTGTTCTGTAATTAGCATTGGCCATTGCCAAATCTCACAACAGCAACGAAAGAAACAGTAAGCTGTAACCCGGGGACTAAAAAAGGGTACAGCATGTCCGCCATCTTGGAAAATCGTCCTTGAGCTCTTTATAGTGTGTAATTTATGTAACACTAATGGAGAACCCAATAAAACAAACAATAAGCAGTAATTATTTATTGCACAACAAGACTTCTTCTGTAACTGGCATTGGCCATTGCCAAATCTCACAACAGCAAATTGTTGTTACACTATACAAAAGCGAATCCCTCACAATTTCGGCTAGTCTATAATATTAAAAAACATCTTGTCAATGATACCAATCATACATCTTACCAATTTGATGCCTTGCACGCCAGACCTTTATGTGAAATAGTTCTTCTATAATTAATGCGAAACATCACTTTTATTACTCACTGAAACAGAAGCTTTTAGGCTTCGGCTTATTTCGGCTTTGTTTTAGGTGTTTTATCGGGCTGTCTTTTTTGTACTGGTATATATTTTCTGGAGTACTGGATACTGCCCTGCCAATGATACAGTCTTGGCTCTTGCTATTTGATGCTGTCTTGATACAGTAAATCAAACGATCTGCTTGGAGATTAAAAGTTTTGGTTGGTGGGCTTAAATTGGGAAGAAATTAGAATGGTAGACTCATAACCAGGAAGGTGACGGTCATCATTCGAATGGCGAACTGATGACGGGGAACATTTTACCTTCATCAAGGAGGTTATGTTCGGTCAGGTAACATGAAAACTTTGGATCCGTGAGCTATGACTGTGATGAGTTGTTGACAGAGTGATACAGAGACGCCCCCTGTTGGGGTCTTTGCCAATTGCAGGGGACGAAAGTCAGATGAATGTCTTTCACGGGCATTTTTGCTGTGAATTATTGTCGTTGGAAAGGAATTGAAGAGTTAGCTGAACCTGGGTGCCATCCGATTTGCTCCTTACACTCGCCGGAAAGAAAGAGTGTAAAAACCCGTAGCAAAATTAGATGGAACAAACGTTACAGTTAGCTATCCACTGCCTAACAAATGTCAGAACTCATTCCAGGGTCAGCCTATCTGAGCTAGTTTCAGACACATTGTCCTCTGGCTGCAGTTGTCCTGCGGCACCTTGATGCAGAACCTACTAGATTTGGGGGGAGACAGGTGCTAGAACGAATGAAAAGTCACTCTTCCAACTGTAGCTGTTCAAAATCACCAGAAACATTCCCTTCCAACTGTGGCTGACCCTGGTCATCAGGCTCATTCCCGTCCAACTTGAACTGTCCCAGGTCGCCTTCCATGACTCTTGGCATGTCGAAGTGAGCATGATCACGAGAACTGATAACATAGTTACCAGTCCCGTACACGTACGTCTCTTGGAACGTCTGTTGGACCGTGTATCCAACAGCTCCTTGCTCCTCTTCATTGTCGTCTCTTCCGCCATACAGGAGGTCATCGACGTCTTCTGAGAAGCCGAGGATGTCGTGATGGACGATGCCGTCCTCTTCTTGGGCCTTGTTGATCTGATCCATGCTGTAGGAGTAGATCTCTTCTCTGTGTTCCTCCAGTGCACGAGCGCTGAGCACCCTCTCCTCTGTAGTAGTCCCTGGGCTGACCTCGTCGAGCATGTTGACCAGGATGT